GAGTGCCCAGGGAAGAAGGAAGCCCCTTATAAAACCATCAGATCTCGTAAGAACTCACTATCACAAGGACAGGATGGGAAGAATCGGCCCCGTGATTCAGTTATCTCCACCTAGTCCCTCCTGTGACACGTGGGGATTATGGGAACTACAATTCAAGATGACATTCAGGTGGGGACACGGCCAAACCATATCAATGGCTCACACCGTTTGCCTACCTGCAGAGCTTAAAACACACTTGGTCTATAACATCTTTAACTACCAGTTAAAAACGAAACACTAAAAGAAAGTCAATTTGCCTCATGAGAATTTTCCACAATTTCAGTTAAGGGACTTGCTGTGTTCTGTTAAGCATGTGTTATGGTCAAAATGAAATTAGAGATCCACTAAAAAATGCTTAATAATGCATATGTAGGTATGACAAAGATTTGCAGATGTGTTTCCTTGATTACGAGAGCCATGTCCAGTATCAAAGTAACACTCTTGAGCATTCTGAAGCATGTAGGGTTTATTTACAGTGATACATAAGGTTTGAAAAGGATGCTTTACCAAAAGTTTTGTTAATGAAATAGGAATGCAAATAAAGAGGTACTACATTTACTAGATTGCAACTGGCAACCAAAAGTAACCTTTTTCTAACGTAAACCTTGTTATGTTTGTTGCTTTGCTGCATCTCATTTCTTCTGGTAGGTTGTTTTTATTATTCTGTTAGGAGAAAAAACTTAATTTTGCTTGATTTTCTTTGATCTAGGAGTCATTTAAAGATGTAATGCCATCTTCCTTGCCAAATTTGATTCTGTCTTCCTCACTTATTTCGGTCAACAGAACTTCATCTTTCCAGTTCTTGTAGCCAAAAATCAGCCTTGACACCCCCCTTAGGTCTTATGCACTAGCTGTTTCCTCTGGCAGCTCTTTCCTTATAACAAATCATTATAATTCCTCTGAACTGAAGCGATCCAAAAAAAAAAAAAAATGAGCAACTTAAAATTGCAAAGTTACTTTACGTATTTTATTTGATTCTCATAGTTAGGAGACTCCACTCTTTTCCTTAAAGTTTAAAAGAATGCCTGAAATCAACCCTTAATACCGTAAACACATAATGAGTACCAAAGCGTTTCTCTGTCATAGGTAAGCAGCACTCCTCAATAAAAGATCAAGGTGCCTTCTGGTCCATGGGACATCACCATTTCAACAAGAGAAAACTTCAGAGGCTTCATTAGAAAGCTTTCGTTTAAAAAGTGTTCCTCCCACTACACAAGTGAAACCAGCTTTAATACAGAGAAATCAAAACAAAGAAAAATAAAGTGGAGAACAGCTTTTGAGTATTTTCTTAAAATTTTCCATTTTTTCGACTTTGCACAATATTATAATAAAGGAACATGGGACCCTTTATTATTGTTACCACAGTTGTTTAATATTCTTTTCATAAAGTTAACCATGTTTATTTAGCCATTTTCTTAGCTTTTGCCATCATGGCACTTTGAAAATTTTCTTTGTAATTGCTGCAATGACCTTGGAGATCACAGATGCATGCTACTTCCTCAAGTTTATTCTTGGAAGTGGTATTACCAAATTAAAGGTTCTCAATATTTCTTGGGGTACTGCAATTTTTAATTGCATATTAAAACTGTTATTACTGAGATCGACATTCCTCTCACCAATTCACAAATACACAGTCACGGACATCTTGAGATCTATAAAACGTCAAGCCGCGTTCATTTCACAAATTCACAAGTTAAACCTAAAGATCTAAACCGAGAAGCCGGACCTAGGGTCTATTTCTCCCCCGCGGATCCACCCCGACTTATTAAGCAGTTAGGCCGACCCTTCCGTGCTCATTCAAGGCAGTGCAGAGCTTTTGTTCCCCCGCCCAGTGGAATCTACCCTGGTCCCAGCCCCTCGTCCAACTCCCGTGGGACGCCACGCAATACGGAGTTCAAGAAGCGCAGAAATCTCCTGACCCCTAATAGTCCACACTAGGTAGGAAGACCGCAGCACCTACGCCACAGGGTCAAATGGGAAACCAGAAAAGGTGAAGGCACCCGATGCCCGTCGCCCAGTCTCGGCCACCAGCAACGCTATCTTTCCCTGGCGCACGATGCCGGCCTTTCAGCCCAGACTCATCGAGCGAGGATGCCGCGCTGAGAAGCTTCTAAGGCTCAGGGCCTGCAAAGCCCAGCAGCCGGCTGTAGGTGTCCTTAGCAAATGCCAGACCGCGCGCACCGTCCCAGCAAGTCCCGAGCGAGTGTGGGACAGGCAGCAAATCAGTGCCCCCCTGGCCAGGCAGAACTAGTCGAACTTGGAAGTAGAGAGCAGGCGGAGGCCGGCGCTTAACTGTAGCTAAGCAGGCCAGGTCTGGCTTTGGGCCCTGGGCCTTCCAGCCGGGGACTCTGCGCCTGCGCCCGCCTGGCCGCCGCCCGCTCTCCCGGCGCTGCAGCTGTCTGGGCTGCTGCGCGCCGCCTAGGTGTCTGGGCAATCCATGGGCAAGAGCAAGGGCCACGATGACAGATTACGGCGAGGAGCAGCGCAACGAGCTGGAGGCTCTGGAGTCCATCTACCCTGACTCCTTCACAGGTGACTTCCGCGGCCGCAAGCCTGCAGCCCCCCCAAGGTGGAGTGGGACGGGCAGGAGCCGCCGCAGCTCTGGGCCTCCTAGGCTGGGGTGGAGAAGGGGACCGTGAGGCCGCGCGGCCACCTTGCCCTCCACTCTTCTCAAGTTCTTCAGTCACTTACCAGCAACCCAGTGACTTTTTCCCCCTTCTCTGCTTGTCCCTGAAATCTAAAAGTCCGGGTGATGCTGGAAGGTGTCAGGCCTGAAAATTGAGTCGGGGTTACTTTGGTTTCTGTGTAACCTACAGCAACCTGAGATTTATAATACATTAAGAGAAAAGATACTCCAAGTGAGTTTCGTTTTTCCACAGCTGCAAGGATGTTAGTTTTCACATTTTCACCTTTATTAAGGTAGAAACTGTTTTTCATACGATGCCGTTTTAGTTTATGGGATTCAGAGTACTGTTCTCAGTTACTCAGATAGGTTTTGAGAGTAGTATAGTCCCTGAAGTCTGTCGGGTTTCTTTTCTTAAGAAAAAAAAAAAAAAATCTAGCATTCAGCAGAATGCCTAATGGATAATGTGGCCCAAATTTCCGTTCCGCTATAAATTCATAGGTTGTTAGATTGGAAGGGAGGTTAGACATCATCTAGCCTGGGGATCCTGCTACAAGCCAAGGTCTTGGGGGGCTCAGGAAAGCTAAGTGGCTTGCTCTGGACTGTCCGCCAGCGAGTTAGCGGCAGGGCTGGTACTAAGAGTTACGTCCGGAACGCTTGCCTGTTCTTTCACCTTCCAGACATACAGGACTTGGGATTCAGCTCCAGCTGAGATTGGGGAGAGCAGAAGATTACTTGATAGGTTGGGCTAATGTAAAATATTGTAATGAGAAGTTCATTAGGTATGATTTAGAGGATGAGATTTCTCTATTAAGCCATGCTTCGGATGATTATAAAAATGCTACATAACTATATCAATATGGCTCCTCTGAGATTTGAGAAGTGGCCAAATAAAGCCAATATGAGTGAGTAGAAACTAGGTGTGTGCATTTACATTCGCCATCCTTTCCTTTGAGTGTTGCCTATGGTTGATAGTCAGAATTTATTGTGGAAGGTATATTACTTTAACTCATAAACTCCAACCCCTCCCCCTTTCATCGTTTAGCTTAGTTTTCTTGGTTCCACCTTTTGATCACTGCTTGCAATGGTAGCAAATTTTGTTCTGCTTTGCCAACAGGCAGATGTCTCTCAGCTATCCCTGTATAGCTCCAGTCCTGTTCATGTTCTCTCTCACCAGCAGTACATCTGTGCTGTGAGGATGTTAAGGGGATGAGTGAAGAGGGGTTTGAGAGTGTCATTAACTGGGTGAGTGTGTATGGAGTCTGGCTCCCTTCTCTATCCTTGCTTATATGTCTGTGTCTAAAATAGAATATAGGGTCAGTTGTTGGATATATTCTTAATCATGTTTGGTCATTTCCAGAACTTTGGAAACATAATAGATATGAACACTGTAGGCGGAGTCAAGAAAGCAGGATATGCTATTCTTTTCATTTCTTTGGACATAAGCTATCCCTCACTAAATCCTATGCATATAAGCATTTATAAAACTGATACCTTTTTTTTGTTTTTAACCCTGAAATAATCTTGTGGGTATTTCAAATTGTATTAGGCCCTGACAGCTCTGGTATAGTTCACTATGTGAAATTCTTATCAGATGCCCAAGTGCTTGAGGATTCTGAGCCAGGGTAATAAAAGACAATTTATGAATCTTTTGATGCATTCAGGTATTCTGCACTATCAGATAAGCCATCTGTCTGTAACTCCTGTCAATAGTTCTACAAGCTTTGCAATAAATAAATTAAAATGAGATGTCTTTATTTATAGTTCTTAGGGAACGTTGCCTTCCTAGTGATCAAGTTCTTTATGAAACCTCTTGGGGAAAAGGCAGAGGATTTTGAAATAAAATGTTTCCATGTCTGATCTTTTAAAATCTTGGAGATTTGCAAGATTTGCTGTTTTAAAGCCTTCTTTTGTATTTATGATTCTATACTTTTGTATTCTCATGCCAGGGTTAAGAAAGAGATCTTGCTTGTGTCAGTTGGCCAAGGAACACTAAATGAGGTTTTGTAACTTCATTTTGAATCACATTTAATTATTAAATTTGGTTAATACTCAATGCTATTGATGAAGGAAATATACTTTTTTTTTTTTTAAATGGATGACTGAGTGCCTGACAAAGAAGCATTTGTTAAGTACACGTAACCCCATGTGAATGCTGAAGAGGCACAGTCCAGCCCACAGACGTAGGCACATAGATTTGGCGTAACCTCAGAATTAATTGCTTTGACTATTTGCAAAGTACTTTTGGTCCAGTGTTGCATTTGTTGTGGTTATAACAAATCATAATACAATTTCTTCTTTTTGCCTATTCTGTAGCTTGATTGCACATTGATCCAACCCTCCTAACAACTAGTCTTCCAAAATATAAATGGACTCTCCTGATACCACATTCTCCTTCAGTAGTTCTTCACTTGACAAGGTCCTGCTAAGGTAGTAGAATTTGGTTATTTCAATTTATGTATTGAAATCTCTGGCTGTGGGGAGTTTTATTGAAACAAATTTGTTGGCATCAGGTTAAGCAAAAGCCAAGTTTCCTTAATTCTGTTTGCCTTACAAAGAGGAGTACATAATCCTGTATTTCTTTATCAGTACCTCTAAGCGGCAGCCATTCACATTTGACAGTTATAATTGTATCTTGAGATAGGAAAGAAGTCATCTTGTAAAAGCAGTTTGTTCTAAGTCATACTTTTTGAAAGGTCAGACACTCCCTAACAACCAGAGGTGCTTATTTTAATATGGGCTCTCTCATATTTTGTGGAAACTAAAGGTGATTTGTGTATCTCTTAATGTACCTTTTAGCTTCTACCTCTTTATCCCTGTTTTTGACAAATCTTTAATTCTATCAGTTTCACCACCATCTGTCCCCTAACGTCTCTCTGCCCTTCCTCTATGGCCAACAGCTAACTTTCTTCCTTCCTTCCTTTCCTTCCTTTCCTTCCGTCCCTTCCTTTCCTTCCTTCCCTCCTTCCCTTCCTTCCCTTCCTTCCCTTCCTTCCCTTCCTTCCCTCCTTCCTTCTCTCCTCTCTTTCTTTCCCTTCCTTTCTTTCTTCCTTTTTCTTTCTGTCTTTCTTTCTTTTCTTTTCTTTTCTTTTCTTTTCTTTCTTTCTTTCTTTCTTTCTTTCTTCCTTTTTCTTTCTTCCTTCTTTTCTTTTCTTTCTTTCTTTCCTTTCTTTTTTCTTTCTCTTTCTTTTCTTTTTTCTTTTTTTCCTTTCTTTCTCTCTCTCCTTCCTTCCTTTCTTCCCCTTTCCTTTCCTTACCCTTTCCTTTCCTTCCCCTCTCCTCTCTTCTCCCCTCCTCTCCCCACCCTCTCCCCTCTCCCCTCTCCCTCTCCTTTTTGAGACAAGGTCTCACTCTGTCACCCAGGCTGAAGCACAGTGCCCCAGTCAGCTCACTGGAGCCATGGACCTCTGGACTCAAGTAATCTTCCCACCTCAGCCTCCAGAGTAGCTGGGATTACAGGCTCGCAGTACCATGCCTGGCTAATTTTTGCATTTTTTGTATCAGCAGAGGTCTTGCTCTGTTGCCCAGGCTAGTCTTGAACTCTTGGCCTCAAGGAAGTCTCCCACCTCCGACTCCCAAAGGGCTGGGATTATAGGCGTGAGCCACTGCATCTGGCCCAGCTTACTCTTTTTCTCAATTTTTTTCTTTTTTTTTAGAGAGTCTCCCTTTGTCATCCAGGCTAGAGTGCAGTGGTACCATCTTGGGTCACTGCAACTGCCACCTCCCAGGTTCAAGCAATTCTCCTGCCTCACCCTCCCAAGTAGTCGGGATTACAGATATGTGCCACCATGCCTGGCTAATTTTTGTATTTTTAGGAGAGACTGGGGTCTCGCTATGTTCCCAGGCTGGTCTTGAACTCCTGGCCTCAAGTGATCCACCCACTTCAGCCTCCCAAAGTGCTAGGATTGAGTCATCATGTGCTAGCATGAGTCACCATGCCCGGCCCTCAAAAGTATTTTGAATTACTTACAGTGGTGGAAGTCTGGCATCCTTATTGAAGACTAATCTTTCTTCTACTTACCCTAACTCACAGTAATGCATGGTAATGGGATTAGTCTTTTATCAGAACTTAGGAATTATCTATTTCTGAGAATTCAATTAATTAACTTTCCCATCCCTATTTTAGTTACTGCCCAACTTTGAAATATCCCTTTTTCTGTTTTTAAAAAATACTTATTTTAATAAGATTAGATTCAGCTGTGACAGAAAACCCCCAATAACATTGGTTTTTAAAAAGGTAAAAACTTATTTTGCTCTTGCTTGTGTGCTCTTGCACATGCAAGAGAGTTGTGGCAGCTCTATTTCAATAACTCCTCAGGGACCCATCTTCTAATGTAGCTCTCTGTCATCCCTAAGATGTAGTTTTACACTCATGGCCAAGATGGTAACATTCCCTTTCCAGGAAGTAGGATGAATAAAGGAAGGAAGAAGAACAGAGAGAAGTAAGAGAAGGCAAGTTTCTTAAGGAAATTTCCTGGAAACTGTCAGAGGGCATATCTACTTCCATCTTTTTAGTGGGAACTTAGTCATTTGGTGAGGGCTAGCTGGAAATGAAACTGGGAAATGTAGTCTTTATTCTGGGTAGTCAGTATGCTGAGTTAAAAGTGGCATAACTTAAATAAGGGGAGAGTGGATATTGGGGGACTTTTAGCAGTACTTCCCAAAATCTTTTTTCTTTGCTGTACTTGCTTCACGTTTTTTCTCTATAGTGGCAACTTTATGTAGTGTCCTTGGACAAATCACTTAGCCTCTCCAAGCCTTAGTCTCTGTATCTGTTTAATGAGAAATAATGTGAGTGAAAATACTTTATACCTTATAATTGTAAAACAAACATATGATACTCTTTACTAGAAATACCATCTTAGTTGATTTTTCCACTAATATGGTTTCATAATTTCTTGTCTCTTTCCACTAATGATTTTGATTTCCACTTTTTTTTAGCTGCACATGGGCATTGCCACACCTTGAAAATGCCATCTCTAACATTTTGGCCCCTGAAAATTACTCCTTCCCATAACCTTTGTACACTTTAGTTCTTTTGTTCCCATGCTTTTATTGAACATGCATCTCATGATTTCTCATGGATTGATAGTTCATCAGTTTCTTTCTGGTCCATCTTGCCTCCCTGTTCTATCTGGCTCCCCAGGTCTGGCAGTTCACTGATATTCTTGCTAACATTCCCATATTTTTTGGTTTCCTCATTTACCAGATATTTACTATATGCATTTTTTTAGGATCTCAGCTTGGGGAAACAGACATCAGATACATTTAGGGAGAGGGGATGGTCTGAGTTGTTTTGGAAAATTTAGGTGTAATGACAAGTTAACAAGTAAATGAGACTAGGGAAAGGGTATTCCAGCCTGGGACGCACATATGCAGAAGCAGGACTCTGAGGGATCAGAATATGTTCAAAGGACAAGTTATTTGGGTATTGTTAGAACATGAAGTGAGAAGTGAGAGTTATGGAAAATGAGACTTGACCAATAAGCAGGGGCCACATCACAGAGGGCTTTGTCAGGGACTTAGATGTGATCTGACAGGGCAATAGTTCATTGCCCATTTTATTCCCACACAGACCATATAGTGCATATTGTAGACACTGCCACATCAGACTCAGATTCTAATAGGTGGGGTGACTTCACAAATGAAATAGACTGAGTTATGCGTATTTTTTAGCGTGCTGGCTGTGATTCTACCCCTTTCTTACAACTCATTCCAACACACTGTATATGGATAGGGAACTGCTGCTGTAAGCAGGTAACAATGTGATGAAATCTGCTTGCTAGGAAACTGACAAGAGACAGTGGGCAGGATGGGGTAGAATGAGGAGAATCATTCTTCACCTGCTCTTGAAACTCACTTCCGTTGATTTTCATAACACTGTTACCTCTTGAGTTTGTTATTACTTCATCTTACTTTGTTCTCCAAATTGAGGATTCCTTACAAAGCTTATGTTGGCTTTTTTTCTTTGTGTTACATTTCTGATGATCTCATTTAGTCTAATGGCTTTAGCTATCACCTCTGTGTAGATGATCCCAAATTCAATTAAAGCCCAGCTCTTTACCACCATTCGCCCATTTCTGATTGCATGTTCAACACTTCTAACTGAAAGTCCTGAGGTGTCATTAAAATATATCATGTCTGATTTTTTTTGTTATTACTCATTTTTGTTAGTTGCATCACATGCTCAGCCTGCAGCCTGCCAACTTAAAATATCATCACCACCGTTTCCCGCTATTCCCATTGCTGCCGTCCTAGTTCAGGACCTCATTACCTTTGCCTGGATTATCGCAATAGTGACCTAGTTTCATACTGCCTGTAGTCGTTTCCCTCCTTTCATTTTATGCGCTGTTGTTAGATTTGTCTTCCTATGTTTTGAGAACAATTCTGATCAGATTATTGCTAAAAAAAAGATTGTGTACAACTAAACTTTCAACTGTATTTTCACCTAGTTTTCTTCGCTCACATAAAAGTTCAGCAAACGGAATAATTTCTTATTCCGTATATATATCTTTAGCTTTCCCACCATTAGGCCCTTGCTTCCATGGTGCCCTCAAGTGCATTTCCCTTCTCCATCTCTGCTTGCCAGTATGCCACTCATGATTCACAGCCTAGCTCAAATGACTTCCTTGGAATTTCTCAGCTGGAAATATGTTTTCTTTTTAAATGATGCTCTATATAGTTCATTCTGTTTGTTCAGTTACTACCTGATAACCTTGGACAAATTATTTAAAAGCGCTGTATCTTAGTTTCCACATCTGTAAAATTGGGGTGATAGTATATTTAATTATTTTTTATTATTATTTTTTGAGACAGAGTCTTGCTCTGTCGCCCAGGCTGGGGTGCAGTGGCCAGATCTCAGCTCACTGCAAGCTCCGCTTCCCGGGTTCACGCCATTCTCCTGTCTCAGCCTCCCCGAGTAGCTGGGAATACAGGCGCCCGCCACCTCACCCGGCTAGTTTTTTGTATTTTTTTAGTAGAGCCGGGGTTTCACCGTGTTAGCCAGGATGGTCTCGATCTCCTGACCTCGTGATCCACCCGTCTCGGCCTCCCAAAGTGCTGGGATTACAAGCTTGAGCCACGGCACCTGGCCACATGTAATTATTTTTAAGACATATTTTACATTTAACATATCTGAAATATGGACTCGTCTTATAATCAGTTACATGTCGGTTTAGTTGGCAGCTTATTTTTCTTTCTTAGTGGTACGTAAAGTGTATCTCATACTTGATGGCATTGAAAATTTAGTGAATTATAGTAATAGTATAAATCATGGTCTTGTGCTAGAAGTACAGGATTTTCGTGTAAATGCATAGCATAGCACAAGCACAAAGTGATGCTCAGTAAATGTTACCTGTTGTAATTGAGTATTGGTTACCCCTGACCTATAGCTTCAGGGAGTTCTAGAAAGTGGTAATAAGTTGGAATGTCATTGGGCTGATCCCTTATTTCTATAGTTGCAGTGTTTACATTTCATGACTTGCTAAAGTTGGTCATGAAAGGAAATAAGAATGAAATACATCAACTATATTTTACATGTATTTGTTAAAATATAGACGAGGCCAACTATATTATGGCTCTATTATAATAACCTTTCGGTGGGCTGAAACTTTTTTCAGCATGGGCTGGACTCCCCAAGACCTATTAAAATATGAATCTCCTGAGTCTTTTATCTGACACTTTTCTAGTAATCACAGGTGTTCATCATTTCTTAAAGTACCTTAAATTCAATTAAAATGAAGACATCTATCTTGAAAATAATTGGTTTGGGGTTTTTTATTTATCTTTTTTTTTTTTTTTTTTTTTGAGGCAGAATCTTGCTCTGTCGCCCAGGCTGCAGTGCAGTGGCACAATCTTGGCTCAGTGCAGCCTCTGCCTCCCAGGTTCAAGAAATTCTTGTGCCTCAGCCTCTGGAGTAGCTGGGATTACAGGCATGCGCCACCATGCCTGGCTATTTTTTGTTTTTAATATCGATGAGGTTTCACCATGTTGGCCAGGATGGTCTCGAACTCCTGGCTTCAAGTGATCCGCCCACCTCGGCCTCCCAAAGTGCTGGGATTATAGGCATGAGCCACTGTGCCCAGCCAGAAAATACTGTTGATAGTATATATTTATAATGGCTTTAGAAAGTTCCCAGGTAGGAAAAGTTGAATAGTTTCCATGATTGCTTCTTCAGTGATCTATTGCTCTTTCATTTCTGAAAAAGCCTGCAGAGCTGCTGCCAGCCTTAACAGGTACCAGTGCTTCCTGGACAGCAAATGAGGCATAGGCTTTTTTCATAGGCTTAGCAGCCATTCCTGGTGGCTGGAAGTTTCCTTGTTTACTTTTCAGATGGTTCTGAGTACAAGTTTTCTTCGTTGCTGTTTTTCCTCCTTTCATTCTATTCATTTAGTTCTTTTATTGGGGCAATATTAATTGAGTTTCTAGATACTGCCAGATACTGATCTAGGAGCTCTCATAGAGTTGTTACAGCGTTCTTGTAGAGGAATAGATAATAAACAGAGATTAGTATTAGATAGACAATAGGCTATAAAATGACATACAAAACTTTATTATTTACATAAATGTTGCTTTACATGTTTCGTCTTGCTGAGTAAATTACGTGCAATCTGATGTTTACATTCATAGTTAATTGATTTATAATTCTGTGAAAGATGGTAGAGGCTTAGTAAGCATGTGTGAAAGAAAGTTTGGTTTTAGAGATGATGTGGTAGAGAATGACAGCAAGAAGACACTAATTTTAACAAATCAGTATTTACTGTTCGTTAGGGAGATTCTGAGTTATATCTCACAATACATAAGTATAAAAATCAGTGAAACATGAATATCAGTGGGTAGTTTCAGGTGGGAAACGTGAAACTCTTTGCCATTATGTTTGGGATTTTTTTAAGAATGTAATTTTCCATGTATAGGTGGAGATTTTAAAATAAAAGGTAAACTACTTAATTAGTTTAGTTGACTTGGTAAAACTTATATAT